GGTAGGCTAGTCTGAATTAGAAGAAAGTGAAGTTTATTATGACAAAGAATAAATATATTGAATTAACAGATGTCATCGTGGTTGTCATCTCAACACTCCTCAATCATGTGACTTCAGCCCTAGTTGGGCTCGAAATTGCTCGGAATTTTTCAACTGGGTTTTCCCAAAGTCTTTGTGAGGCTTCTGGTTCTCCGTTTTGACGTAATCCAAGCGATTTTCCCCTTGTGCCAGAATGCCTTGTACAAAATGAAACCGAATATCTATATATTTGGTCTTCGGATTGAATCCGCAGTTAGTTGCAATAGACATTGCACTTTGATTGTCACAGTGCATCATTAATTGGGAGTCGATTCCCAATGCTTGAGTAAAACCCCGCCACCAGATAGCTTCTTGCAATGCCGATGATAGGGAAATATATTCTGCTTCACTCGAAGAAATAAAGACGGTTGGTTGCTTCTTAGAGCACCACGATATGGTTCCTCCTGAAGCCACGAAGACGAATCCAGTTACTGATTTCCGGTCATCATGGTTTGCTGCATGATCGGCGTCGGAGAATCCATTGATGCAAATATTATCACTCTTACGAAATGTTAACTTCTAAAACTGATTTTATTACACGGATCTATGTATAAACATGAAGAATATCCAGGTACTTCAGAAAAAGGAAAGAAATGTAAAAAGCGTGGCGCAAATCAACCAGTCTTCATTAAATCAAAAAAATGGATAAAGATACAGTAGAACTTCGGAACTTGCATGATGAATAAAGTGATGCTGAATTTTTTATCCATATGAATTTGATGAAATATTTTTCCACGATTTCCAAAAGGGGCAGAAATAAATTTATTTACGACCAATATACAGATGTAGAAAATATTCGAGGGTTCATAGGGAATTATCATGAACTAGAGTCGCGCCAGTCTACCAGCATAAAAAATATATGACTTTATGCATTAGGGAATCAGCAAGTCATCAAATCAACTGTTCCTCTCCATGCCTGCCACCTCGAGGCCTCGAAGCAACCGATAGGTGAGCAGTGTTGCCGTCACAGCAATTTTGTTTCTAAATCTAACGTTTCCAGGGTAGGACAATGCGATATTTGAACTTGATATGCGACGTGTTGGAATTTTATCATTTCACATCGTTCAAGCATTTTTTTTCATACTGCAACATGCGTCTATGCAATCTATAGCATGACGAGAATGACAATTGCATGAAACCAACACTGGAAGATCAGGAATATCACTAAATAAGGAAAAGAAGTAGCTCACTGACTTCTGGCGACTTTTCCTATGAATTTTTAAGACTTATAATTCATAGCAAATGGCAACACTGGTGAAACGTGTTATGCTAGTAGTAGTCAGCTTACTGAGAGTGGAAGTATTAAGTTCATAATGAATGAAAATGAGATTGGTTCCTTCAAAGTCTAAAATGATCAATTTCACCAAGAAAGGAAAATACAAATTGTTAGGTAATTAATAAGTAATAAATCTGTTTTTTCTGTGACTTGAAAAAAGTTTGGCATTTCATTTCTGTTGGCAGGTTATAAAATGTCACTTTTCATTAATTAATTTTTTCCCGTGGGAAAAAAGTGAGTACTTTTTTCCCGGATATATATCACATTTTTTGTTGTGCTATAGTTCCGAAAAATGAGTCAATAATACCGTCTCCGAGAAAGAACTGCAAGTCCTTTTATCTTCCATTCGACTCCGCGGTTACGTATATTACTAAATAAGCACTAAATTCGCAATTTTTTTAAATCAAATCACAGAATTAGACTGAAAGAAGTGACATCAGATATTTGATTACTTCAAAAGAATGATAAAGATGCCTACAACGCAGGTGTCCCTACTGTTAAAAACTTAAAATTTCACGTCGATAATTTTCAGATTTCACAATAATGTAATATCTTCTCAATATTGATTCGTCTTTTCTTCTGTCACAGAAAAGAATTGTGTATTATACACGAGAAAAATATCAGATTTTAGCTCACGGTTTTTTGTCTCACAATGTGGAGCTAAAATCTACTACTTTTTTCCCTTGTATAATAAATAACTATTATTTTTTCATTTGAAAATAGGTAAATTTCGACATAAAGTCGTCAATTTCAGAAGAAAAAGTGTGAATAAAATTGAGAAACGACACAGTGGCATTTCTATGCTTTCGTTGTGTAGCATTCTCACAATCAAAAAGTAAAAAAAAAATATAGGTCACCAAAATTATTTACAGAATGATTTAAAAATTTAAAAAATTTCAAAGATGATAGTAATAATCATGTAGTTGTACATTTTGAATAAATGAAATTGAGAATTGCTACACCTATTTTCATGTCATATGTACTGAGTGTTGACGAAACACTTAATATATTGTAATGGTATTCTCCTGTATCATGGGTTCCAGGTTGTTCTTGATTTGATTATTATAAAATGTACAGGGTTGCAGGAATTCAGGCCTCTACATTGGGATCTCGTGAACCGTAAGAAATATAGGATCAGTTAAATTATGGCTGAGTTGCGAATTTTTATGCCAAACAAAATAGCGTTTTGCAATTTGAAAAATTCCGAATGGGTACTTCCAAAGATTTTTGGAAAAAACCGAATATTCGCGATTTTTCTTATTTTTTATTTAACTCAGATGTAACAATAGTAAATTAGGTAATATGTGTTGTAAGAAGCATATTACGCATATTACGCACGAATAGAAAATTGCTTTACAACACGCATTACCATGTAGTGTATGGAAAAAGATTATGTTGCTTCTTGAGAGTCTAGGTTGTGGAAATAAAATAAAACGAACAAAATTTGACTGATTCCTTGTCGGCCGGTTTCAATATTTTCCGATAAGTGTTGAAAATATGCCATCAAATCATTTTCGGAAAAAGAATACACCTTATTCTTCAGTCTTCATTACTAATCTATTGTAACAATTCTCGTATAGTTTGCGGGATTTATTGCAGTAAATCATTCATTGGCATGACGTTAGGAGGAATTAAATTTTCGTTTGCACTATCACTTGTATTAGAAACAGGATATAACACCGCACCACCCTATATATCGATACTTTCTAATTCTATTAGTAAGACATGACACAGGTAGTTACGTTACATGATGAATACGAGAACAGTTGGATGAAATGGATTATTAACCGTTTATCTTTTGTAGAGCACACATCGTGAACATAAAGTGTAAAACTTTGAATAGTGTTTCAATAACCATAGTGTAATATCTCAGGAGTGTGGATAAAGAACTGCTTAAGGAGTGAAACAAAATCATAGTGAAACTGTGTAGTTGCCAAAATGCCGAGGAATAAACGATTACGAAGCCCTAGTTCATCGAGTTCTTGTGGTTCAACAAGAGGTTCTAGTGGAAGTTCCACAACGTCTAATTCAAGCCAGACTAGAGGAAGACGTTGGAAACGGCAAGAAAAGAAAATTTCAAGAAAGAAAAGAAGTTCGAAAAGGTTGAGACATTCACGGGGATCCAATAGAGTAAGATTGTCTGACAAACAGCTCATTGAAATAGGAGTGAGGACAGCATTGCATTCTTTACGTGAAAGAAATAATAGCAATATTCTCGCAAAAGTTATACCTGATTTTGACTCAAAGAAAGAAAATGTTCATGAATGGTTGAATATTAACGATGAACATGCCAAATGCTATGATTGGGATGAGAATACAGTAAAATTCCAAGCACTCAACAAACTCAAAGGTACCGCTGAGAAATGATACCACAATAATATCAAAGATGAAATCGGGTGGGCTAATTATTCATGGGCAAAATGGAAGAGACTATTGGGAGAAGTATTCCAGGCAGGTCGTAATACTTACGCCCTTTTCATGGACGTCGAACACTTTGTCAACGTTTATCACACGTTGGTCAACGTCTTAAATTGTGATAAAAGAATTTGCATTAATGTAAAAATTATGTAAGAATCGTGTTTTTGTTCGTCTTTTACAAGAATTTTGAATGTTTCGTGACCTGTATGTCTAAAAAAAAGTTACATCGATTATCAAAATTTCCTCTCAACATCATAGTGATCATCCTCAAATAGTGTAAGTACCATTTGAACAATTCATTATATTACTGTCATTGTACACATAAAAAATCTATTGTAGTAGGCCCTGAAGATGGAAATATACATTTCCGAAAGCTCGGACAAACTGTAATGAGTTCACATTCACTTTGCTGCAATCCCCACTAGCAAGCTAGTTTTATATATATATGTATATAGAGAGAAGGGAAGTCGTTGCTGACAAGTTAGAGATGAAACTTAGTAGTGGGGAAGCAGCAAGTAAAAGTGAAACTCATGCAAGTTCGTCCAAGCTTTCGGAAAGTTATATTTCCATCATCAGGGCCAGACTATATATGTATATATATACATATAAATATATTTATCCATATTCAATAAAAAAACCACAAAGTCATCTCCACGACTTTTTATAATTTGAAAACATCAAATTAGGAACATGTTTCGGACATATGCAATGTCCATTTTCAGACTATGCTAAGAAGTCCTACAATATAAGGAGGTACATCATTACATGAAAAACCTTGTTTTAAAAGGATGGTACCCACATGGGAATGAAAAGATTGTTACATTTTTTAAAAATTATTGATAAAAACGTTTTTTTTTAGGGGTCCTAATCCCCAAACATGGAAAGTCAAATTATGGAGGACAATGAGGCTTAACAATTAACAAACTATTGTTGAGAATGATGAAACACTTTTTGTGCTTATAGAATGCCATCTTGTGCAAGAAGAGACGTCGAAGGTTGAATGTCAGAACCCGTTCTTTATATATTTATATCAGCGATATTCATTTGTTTCACGTACAATTTTCTGGAGGTTCAGAACAAACCCTATTTGGAGTTTTTTCTATTTTCAAAGATGAACCTGACCAGTTATTCCGAGATATAGTTCGGAGCTGATTTGTTTTACCGGATATGCATATGTGGTTGGCCCTTTCTTGCGATAACATTTTCCTGTATATTAAAATCGACTCACCTTGTAGTAAACATCAGGTACGTACTGCCTATCGGAAGATTCTCGAACATAACCCAATTCAGGACAATCTTTAGTTGGGATCAAACAGTTGTCTCTAACCAAAGCCATACATTGATTGGAAACTTGATATCCTTCCATGTGAACTTGGTTAGTTTTATCACCTGGAAGAAATGCGATGTGAAAATATGTAACCTTGAAACAAAAAAAATCAGTTTTGTAGGTGTGGGTACTACTTTGAGACCGAATATCGTCAAAAACTTTTACATAGAACAGACATTTATTGTGCATAAGATGATCGTCGCGAAGGAATTAATGAAAATTAAGCACATTTGGACTACTTGACAGCATGCCATATGAGATAAGAATGATCCTGATATTGAAGAATTCAAAAGTGTTCTTAACCAATCTGGCCACAGTGAACTGTCTGGTTATAGAAAATAGAATATTTCATGCGGATTTGGGAGTCTGCCGGTGCCAGATGAACGTTTCCCCATTTATTAGAGCTCTGAATAGGACGAAAAGTCTTCCGTAAGTACAGACAACTTGTCTGTTAAACGGATTACTGATGAAAAAGTTATACGAAAAGTCTTCCGTAAGTACAGACAACTTGTCTGTTAAACGGATTACTGATGAAAAAGTTATCAGAATGTATTGGAAGTAGAAGTCGTATAAGCTAAATGGAAATGAGTCATTCAATGTGATATTCATTTCAAGCATTTTTCACTTCCTCCATAGTTGTTGATTGAAAATGATGCACATGTGCGCTACCAAAATAACTTTAACCCACAATTCGATTTTTGGAGCTGAGTGGCGTACACTTTTTTAAAAACCAAGGCCTACTAGATCACATTCAGAGGCTGAAAAATCCAGAATCCATATCAGCGATGTTGTTAAACTACGTACGCCACTGGAATCGGCATCCTCTGAAATAGATCTGTACCAAGTTTCATGAAAAAATATTCAACAATAACGATTCTATGAAATTACTGACAAGTTGTTTATTATGCATTAAGATTTTCATGTACCCATGTGATAACAAATGAATTACAACGACTTTATTTGATAACAACAATTAAAAGACATTTTTATGAAGACATTCTTCTGAAATGATATTAAATTAACACTCATGAATTGATTTTATATTCTGGATTTCTCAACTTTTTCTTGGAGAAACCTCCGGCATAGAACAAAATCTAGGAAAGTTGAGTCGGGAGATCTGGGAGTAAACTGCATTAATCTGCGGTCATCTGTCCATGACTTTAGTAATTGCAAATCCTACTATTATGAATATTACGACATGAAAAGCCTTTTAATTCACAATGAAAGAATCGCTAATACGTATTCTGGATTTTTCATCCTCTCAATGTGATCTAGTAGGCCTTGGCTTTAGAAAAAAGTGGACTCCGCTCAGCTCCGAAATACACCTGTTCCCCCTCCACATTTGAAAAAATGATTCGTCAAAAATCACTACATGAATAAAGAAATTATGAAGGTGAAACAGGTTTGAATGTTTGTGCCCATGCCCATCGACATAATATCATTGTTAAAAACTGAAAGGTTCAGAATTAACGGGTTTTCATGAACAAGAAATGAAGACCAAATGTCCAGTTCCTGAAGGAAAGCTTGACGAGCAGTTGCAAGGCAGTGCTCAGAAAAAAGCATTATTGGATTGCAAGATGAAAATGGACGTTTAAAAATCCGAAACATGTTCCCTCGAATGATTTACATCATTGAAAGTGTGGAGATGACCCTCGAATAATTTACATCATTAAAAGTGTGGAGATGACTCTGAGCTTTCCTTCTACCCTTGATTTATATTATATACATACTAACATTCTTCTCCAGTATTAACAAACCTATAACCTCGATCTCCGTCCTGGCAAAGTATTGATACGTTATTAGTGGGCAGAAGTAAACACTGACACTATTTATTTATTAGCTGATTTTTCCAATTCAAACAAACATTTATTACAAACTTATCACTACTATTTTTTTCGAGCGGTTCAAAACACGCGTCATGTCTCTCTGACACTGACTGATCTGACTGACCGTCACTGTGCGGCTTCTTCTTATGTTCGGTTGTCTTGGCTTCTAAATTATTTTATCGTCTTCCATACCCTTCTATTTGTTCTTATAAGATGACTTCCCCTTCAAATAGTTTGTTCAGCTTGCATTTCCCCAGGCTCTAAGCAATTAAGTCGAATAGGCCTGGGTGAGCAAGTTATTATTACCAAATGTTCCACTGGTTATTTTATTTAATCCCAATGCTCAGGGAAGACGGGTATGGGTTCTTTGGAAATTATTTATAACAATTATTTTGGAGACATATACAAGTTGCTTTATTTCCTATAAAATAGGTAGTATGACATAAAAGGAGCTAAAATAAATATTGAGTAAGACCACTAATGGTTGTGATAATGGTAGGTGCTGATTTACCCCAATAGCTACAAATAAAGGACTAACCAGGTGCGTACAGAGTTCAGTTCATGTGATTTATATGCCTATCAGGTCATGAGGTCCCCTCAAATATACAGGGTGACCCGGACCCAATTTACTCCTCTGTATGTCTGTTGCTATTTTGTATGGATTTTTCAAATTTGGTACATCGGTTTGATTGCATGAGTGTATGATTTTGCTAGTATCAGAAGTAACATGACAGTTCTGGATTGACCGGAAGTGCATCCAATTTTTTATATCAAATACAAAGTATAATTGTTTTCTAGAAATTACGATTCAGTATTACTTTAGCTTTCCGACCATATATCACAATCATGCTTTCAATTCACAATCTAGTCATATAATTGAGATTTCACAAAAAAATTTTGTATTCTCCGCGTATTGAAATATTTTCATGAAAGGGTGCTATGGATAATGAAACAATAGCATATGAGTAACAATAATTCGATGTCAAAGTTTTGATATAATAATTTTAATGCACACTAACTATTTTTTAATTTTTTTTTTTAATTCTTCAACGCCAATGAACTCATTTTTTTAATGATATCATTTCATTTTTTCAAGATGGTTAAAAACTTCCATACATATTGATTTCAGTTTTCTGTTTGCCTATTCAATTTTGAAGATAATCTCCATGGAGCCCCAGAAACTGAAAAATGCCGCCCCCGCCTGCTCAAATTTATTTTTACCTTTATCATTTTTATGATTTCACTAATTGAATGACATTTTTTGACATATAGGCATTCCGGGAATAATGCATACATCGCTGTTTTTTCTATATTCAGCCTATTTATTTACAGATATATAGACATGAATGTGTAGGATATACGAGGTATTTTTGAAATGAGTACATATATTATTCCGCACATCGATTTGATGCAGTCTGAAGAATATATTCCCTCGATTTAAGGTTTTTTCTAATTCTTTCAATTAACTAGAAATTGAACAAAAAACGTAAAAAAATCATCACTTCAAAACAATTTGAATGATTGAACTCCGCGAGATTGTGACTTCCGCACGGAAATTTTAATACACGTGACGTCAGAATTTTTACAGTGTAGAACTTCATTTCTTTTATTGGTGCCATTCGATAGTAGGCATACGTCGAGCTTTGTCTCAGGGTTTGAAATTATTGCACTAATTTCAATGCCACTGTGTATATTTTAAACACAGCGCAGGATAGGATTGAAAATGAAAATATAAATCAAATATATTATCGCATTTGTGAATTGAAATAACGATTTCACTCTTCATTGAGATTTTTGTTCAGCAAACTCGTTGGGTTAGTAGAGAGTAGTTATTTATTCAAATGTGCTTGCTGACTCAGAAATGCTGAGTTGGATTTCTGTACTTATACTATTATTGATTGTGTGATAAGAGGTAAGTAAATTATGAGTTGTCAATTCATCTGTAGCGTGTGAATTTGGCCGCCCTCTGAACTCGCCGCCCGGGGCATGCCCGGCTTGCCCCCTTCCCCTAGAGCCGGGGCTGTCTCCATGCTATACCTTTAAATCATATTGAACTTTTCAACATCATATTAGTTGGCTATAGGTTTAGGATTATTATTGAAACTGCAAAATCTGACGCAACAAAATTTGTTAATCTGATAAATTTCCTAATTTTATAAAATCTCCATTATATGAGTTGACTGTAGATTCAATGTATGATTGTGATATATCGTTGGAAAGGCAATTTTATACTTTTGTATTCGAAATAAAAAACTGGGATGCACTTTCGGCCAAACCGGAAGTGTCATATTTGATCTGTCACCCTGTATGGGTGTTATTTAAATATCTGGCCAAACTTCAAGAGGCAATTATTCCGGGGGATTCTAAGACGATAAGTTCATATAAACATAGGCTCAGAAATTCTTCGTTTTCAAGATACAGGGTGTTGAACTTGGAAGTATTGATTGCGTTGTTTTTCATGATTACCCTGTAAAAGCTTTCATGATGGAAAAATTTAGTCTGGTTGATGACTGAGACTCAAAATTTCAGAATAATACTCACCGAGTTTTTTGAGTATCCCAATGGTTGTTTGGAAACCAGGTATAAGTATCAATGAATTCAATGCTTAATTCAATCAAATGATTAAGTAGAAAGTCTGACATTAAACATCTATATAAACTCAACTTGACAAGACTGTCAGTCCGTCCTCATAACATAACATAGGGTGATGGCAATCCACCACATACTCCCCTTCTAATGAAAAATTACATTTCCGAAACATCTTCCATAAATACAATACTGGATCATTCAAAAATTCACTTTGGGTAGAGTTGGAAAGTGACCTTCTTCTTTTTTCTTTCATTTGGTTCACTATTATTGGAGAGTGGTAATACATCATCTCTGGCTGACCATCTCAAAGAACTATTACGTGCGTTTTGTTGAACATTTTCATCTATCTCAAGATACGCTGGTTTCACTCGGTCTCTTGAAACTGTTAGCGTCTGTCCATTTCGATCTATTTTGAATGTTTTCTTAAAACGAGATATCACTTTATATGGGCCTGTATAAGGCGGCACAAGCGGCCTATGTACAGAATCATCGCGTAAGAATACATGAGTACACGAACTCAGATTTGATTGTTTGAATATGCTCGGTTTATTGTGCCATGATGTATCAGTTGGTTGCAATTTCGATATAATTTGCTTCAGTCTATGAACATAACTAGATGCATCAGAAGCAGATGTCTTGGATATTTG